CTGCCCCCAGGGCTGGAGGTGCCTCAGCAGTGCCAGCACAGGGATGGGCACTGCCCTGGGCCTGCTGGTCCAGCCACACTGTGGCTGGTACAAAGTAGGTGCCAGTGGCTTTATTGCCCACCTTGGTGTGTGACACTCCCCAGGCAGCTGGAGACAGAACTCTCAGATGAGGAATAGCTGGCAAAGGAACTGTAGTGCTCCCTGGAATGAAAGGCCCCAGGAGCTGCAGCAAGCCTGAAGGGCCCAGAAGGGCTCCCAAGGTCCTTCTGATGGTCTCAGAAGATGGAGCAGCAGCCTGGAAGCTGCTGCAGCTGCTGGCTGCATTCCCCACCCTTCTGGTAGCTCCCACCCAGGCCTCAGCGAGGGTCCCTGCAAAGCCAAACTGATTGTGCCAAGCCAGGGCTTTATCCTGCAGTTGTTCTCTGAGAGCCCTGAGCACCAAGGCCTTCACTTCTGTGGCACAGGGGCTGCCTGAGGTGGTGACATGTCTTTAGTGAGGGGGCTTCTGCTGAGGGGACCAACAGCAACTGCAAGGTCGCTGTTGGTCCTTAACCTCAGCTCTGCCCTGCTCTCTCCTGCTCTGGCAGAGTGTCCCTGTTAGTGGTGCTCAGTGGCTTTGTGGCTCCCAAACCATGACCCTAGAAATAGTTTGAGTGTAAATAATTTGGGCTGTCAGGGCAGTGGGGAAAGTAATTCACCCTTCAGTCTTTCACTGCATCCTGACCAGCAGGACGGAGCACAGGGCACACTGTTACCCCCACCCTGCAGAGCTGCTGCCCCTTTCTGGGCTGATAATGGGGGGTTTCAAGCTTTAAAATGCCCAAGCTGTTGTGTGGTTTGATCCATTTTCAGCCGTGTTTTTGTTGTCTTTGCGTTCCCTTCCCATGGGGAGAGGGAGTTCTTTTTGCATGTTTTTCATTCAGGTATTTGCAATTACACTTTTTTACAAAGCAAAAAGCTTTGTTTGCCCACCGTCATGGATACTAAACAATTAAAAGTTGAGCATCCAGTTCTCACAGGACATCAAAAGAGTCAGTTTTAAACCCAAAAGCACAGGCAGAGCTTACAGCCAGGGCTCAGCTGTCCAGCCAGAGCCCCTCCTCCTGTCTCTCCTGTTACAGACATCACCCAGCACCAGGCTCTGGTGAGGCAGGTATTACTCATCAGCCTGATCCTTGAGAGAGGAATATCCCTTGGGAAGCACCCCATGGTGACACACAGCACCCGAGCGTGGAAGTGGCAGCTGGACAGTGCTTTTACTGTCTGGCTGGTCGGTGACAGGGTTTGCTGTCTGGAGGAGCAGAGGGAGCTCTTCCCAGATGGAGCAGGTACCACCCAGCTGAGTCTTCTCCTCCGTGCAGCTGCAGGAGGCTGGATGCTGCAGCTCCAAATCCTCCCCAAAGCTGTTTGGTGTCGCAGTTGTGGAGGATGGAAGCTGACAGGCAGCAAGATGTCACAGCTGCTTCCACAGATCCCTGAGTCTTTGGCAGTGGCTCTGGCCTTGTGTTCTGCCAGATGCTTTCTGCCCCTGTTATCCTGGCTCAGGTCCACTGGCCACAGTGCTGGCAGGTGTTGTTTCAGGCACAGTGGTCTGGGACCGTCATGAGCTGTGGGTTTGTGCAGAAGAGCAGAGAACAGAGGCCACTCTGGATGCTAAAGTGGTGTTTCACACTTCTTGGCCTCTGGTTTTGGATGTAACTACCCTTCATTCCAACGCCTTCTCCCCCTCTCCCTGCTGCTGGCAGCAGGAGAGGCTTTTACATGACACTGCTGTGACCGTGGGTAACCCTTCCTGCTCTCTCTTTCCCAGTTACCTGTCTGAGGAGGATGTCTTGGATCAAACAAACCCTTTTGTGCAGCTTGTGAGTGGGGTGGTTTGGCTCCTCAGAGATGGAGAAGTTTACATCAATGAGAGCCGGGACGCCGAGTGTGGGAACACTCAAACCACAGGTAAACCCTGACCATGGACTGTCCTTCCCACGGGGCTCTTGGAAGGAGGGGCACTTTCATGGAATCATGGAATGGTTTGGGTTGGAAGAGACCTTAGAGACCATCTTGTTCCAACCTCCCTTCCAATATCCCGGGATTCTCCAAGCCCCGTCCAACCCGGCCTTGGACACTTCCAGGGATCCAGGGGCAGCCACAGCTTCTCTGGGCAACCTGTGCCAGGGCCTCCCCACCCTCACAGGGAAGAATTTCTTCCTAATATCCAATCTAACCTGTGAAGAGAAACTCAGAGAAGTTGCCTCTTACAGGAGTTTAAAACTGAGGGCTGGTGAATCCCTTGCTTTGTCTCTGTGCCGGACAAAAACTTAATCAAGAGCACTTTTCTGGGGCTTGGATGAACAGGAGGAGCCCAGGCTGTGCTCTCACTGGTTTGGTTCAGATGAGCCCCTTGCTGGGAGCTGTTTTGCAGACAGAGGTGTGTGACCAGCCCGTTCTGGCCCAGCTGGGGTGTGAATTGTTCCATCTCCTGCACAGGCACCTTCGACAAGTTCATCAATGTGATCTCGGCCAGGACTGCGGTGGGACACGACCGCCAGGGCCGGCTGGTCCTGGTCCACGTGGATGGACAGACAGAATCCAGGGGGTAAGGGCTTGGGGAAGGTCTGAAATGCCTGAACTGGAGCAACTCTGCAGCTGCCAGGGATAAGTTTTAAGGTAGAGACTCACAGAGCTCGAGGGAGCCAGGGAGGGCTCACACAGCCCCCAGACAGCGAGTCAGGGTGGCCAGGATGGGAGAGCTGCTCCTTCCACCAAGGAGAGGGACAGACTTCTACCACAGCAGCTTCACTGAAGTCAATCAACGAATCACCTTTGCTTTGCAGGGTCAACCTGTGGGAAATGGCAGAATTCCTGAAGCAGCAGGGAGTCATCAATGCCATCAACCTGGATGGTGGAGGCTCTGCCACGCTGGTCTTGAACGGAACCCTTGCCAACTACCCCTCTGAGCACTGGTAGGTGCTGGTGGCTCGTGCCAGGGCTGCACAGGTGGCCCTGCAGCTCCTGTTGGGATGCAGAGCCCAGTCCTGCCCCCAGCTCAACCAGGAGGGCACAGCAAAGGCAGGTGACAGGATCTGGGGGAGAGAGCAGCTCTAAAGTTTTAAGCAATTGAGTGACTCCATATTTTTTCCACTCAGTCATCCAGGATTAAAGCTGAGCTGGTTTCAGACAGGCAGCAAAGCTGTGACTGAGTGGCCTGATGTGGGAATCGGATAAGGCAGCAGCTCTTAGACTGGGAGATCCAGAGCTGCACTTCCATGGGAATTAGCAGAGATCTATCAGCAGCTTATGGAAGAGAACCACTACCTTGGAGACCCTGCCCTGCCTCAGGGCAGAACCTAAAGAACATTTTACTTTAAATTCAGCTTTTTAGTCATCTCTGACTGTAAACACGGAGGGATTGCAGTTACCATAACTGCAATGATACAATTTATATCAAAGCAAATAACGTTCAGGGAAAGGCGTGTTGGATGCCAAAACTGGGGAAGCTGAGACTGCTTAAAGGGAGATTTTGTTTGTTGCTTCTGTAATTCCATGTTTGAAATTACTCCTCTCCAATGGGGATTTAATGGTTAGTTGAAACACCGGCTCAAATCTAGTTTTGTGTTTGTATTTTCCCATTATTAACATTCTTGTTGGCCAGTGTGAACGGGGGTGGCAGTCTGTGGGTTACATCCGCTGGTTCTGGGTGGGGCTGGGGCAGTGCAGTGTCTGCACAGCTCACGTGTCCCCTCCTGTGTCCCCTCAGCTCCTTCGACAGCACGTGGCGCTGCCCCCGGCGCGTCTCCACCGTGCTGTGTGTGCACGAGCCACGCTGCGACCCCCCCGGCTGCAGCGGGCACGGGCTGTGCCAGGCCGGGCACTGCCGCTGCTCCGGGGCCTTCTGGACAGGCCCTGCCTGCGACAGCCTGGACTGTGGCCCTGCCAACTGCAGCCTGCACGGCCTCTGCACCCCCTGTGAGTCGGGGACGGGGGCTCCGGGTGCTGCATCCCTGGGAACGTCCTGGGCCTGGCTGGGGGTTGGGACTGCCCTCCCCCTGCCCTGCAGCGGCTGCAGCAGCAGTGGGGATAAGCAGAACATGTTGCCTTCAGGAGCCAGCAGGGCTGGGCTGGGCTCAGGCCTGGAAGCTGGGCCTGAAATAAGCCTTGATGTCAAGCTCTGGGCCTCAGTTTCCCTTCCTGCCCCGGGGTTGCTTCAGGTTTTTTTAAGGCAGGGCAGTGTATTATGGTGTGTGGCAGCAGCTGGTTCTGCCCTGTCCCTTTACTGTTCCTTCTTTACTTGTCTCTCCCACTTCATGATTTTTATCGCTGGGCCATTGCCACTTCTTCATAAACTCATTTCAAAGCCAGGGACTGCTGGAATGTCCACCCCCAGCTTCTGCCCCTCTGTGCTGCTCTTCCTGTGCTCTGGTTCAGCTCTCATTCAGGTGTGCACCAGTGCAGTGCAGAGCTTGGTGGGTGCAGGGGTGCAGCAGCTGACCTAGAGTTGATCCCAGGGAATCCCCTCAGCAGGGATTCTGCTGCCTTTGGCAGCTGCAGTGGGTGAACCCCCCATGGGTGTAAATGCAGGGTTCTTCTTCTGAGTGTTTCCTGGCAGGGGTAAGGGGGCACCTCAAGAGGCAGAGGCTCCTAATTTTGGGTCCCTGCTGTTTCCAAGTGGTTTTTTTGTTGTCATTAATGGCTGTTGCATGTGTTTGCACAGCTGGATGCCTGTGTGATGCTGGCTGGACTGGCAGCAACTGCACGGAAGGTAAGCACTCACTGCTACTGCACTCTGCTTCTCCCAGCCAGGGAGAGGGGACTGGGACCACTTCCCAAGAGGGAGCAGGGAAGGGAGAGGCCAAACACACCCCAAGCTGTGGCTGTGCTGGGGTGTGTCACTGTGTAGTGAGGGCCCTGATGACGTCCCTGCTTGTCTCTGCAGCCTGTGCTCCTGGTTTCTATGGGGAATCCTGCAGCCAGAAGTGCCAGTGCCAGCACGGTGGCTCCTGTGACCCTGTGCATGGGGCCTGTTCCTGCCCCCCTGGGTTCTATGGCACCAGCTGTGAGCATGGTAAGGGCTGCTCTGAAGGGCCACCTGGGCTGGGAGAGGGGTTTGTGTCACCTCTGAGCCACCTCTTGCACGCAAAGCAACAGGGAGGTCTGCCAGGGGGGCTCAGGCCTGAGTGTCACAGCTGGAGTGTCACCAGCTGGCTCCCAGCTCTTCCTGTCCTACCCAAGTGGGCTAAAAAGGAAAGCAAGGAGCAGAGAGGAAGGAGGAGTTTCCTTCATCAACAGAAAATTGTGGATTTCTACTTAGTCTCAGCCCCAAAGCTCCCGAGTGTAGAACAGGATCATCCACTGCTCCAGGGTGTTGCACCAGACCCTGCCTGTAGCCCAGGCTTCAGGTGATCCAGGTCAGTACCTGTGGAGTGCTCCAGAGGCCATCCCACCTTCCCAGTGTGGCTGTCCCTGTGCCAGTGCTGACGGGGCTGGTGCTGTTCTCCCTTGTGTCACCACTCAGCTTCTCTGAGGCACTTGGGGCCCCGTGGATCCCAGCAAACAAGTTAATTACAGCAGGGTGTAAACTCCACATGTGCCTCATTCCATTAGGGATGGTGTTCCAGCCTGGGAATGCTCAGGCAGCTCCATCCCAGAGGAGTTGCCCAGAGAAGCTGTGGCTGCCCCATCCCTGGGAGTGTCCAAGGCCAGGTTGGACAGGGCTTGGAGCAACCTGGGATAGTGGAAGGTGTCCCTGCCCATGGCAGGGGGTGGGACTGGATGAGCTTTAAGGTCTCCCCCAGCCCAGCCCATTCTGGGATTCTGTGATCCCTGAAACTTCCCCCTGACACACAAAGGGGCAGCAGAGAACTCCCAGTGTGGTGTTCTCTGCCTGCTGCTGGCTCAGCTGAGCTGGAGGAGCTGCAGCCACAGCCTGGGTGGTTCCAGAGCAGGTGGAGCTTTGGCAATGACCAACCTCTTCATGTCAACTCCCCAGAGTGTCCCATGGGCTGGTTTGGGCCCAACTGCCAGAGCCAGTGTGTGTGTGAGCACTCGTGTCCCTGCGACCCCCAGACCGGCAGCTGCAACACCACCCACGACGGGGCACTGCAGGAGGAGCTGCTCAGAGGTACCTGCAGGGCCTGGGGGTTGTAAAAAACAGTTGAAAGAACAGCCTTAGTGCATAATGTTGGTCAAGTCACCAGCTCTGCTTAAGCTTGCTCTTTTTTCAGTGGAATTTTACACCCTCCTCCCCAACACTGCCTTTCTTCCCTCTTTGTTTTCCAGCTGGACAGTGTGTGGCTTCCCAGAATAAGGAAAGGAGAAAAGAAAGATTCTCTCTGTCAGAGTAAGTGGGTGGTACACACTGTGTCCCTCAGAGGCTGTCACAGAGCACACGGGGAGGGGCTCAGCCTGGAGAAAAGGAGGCTCAGGGGGGACCTTCTCACTCTCTGCAACTCCCTGACAGGAGGAGGGAGCTGGGGGGGGATCAGGCTCTGCTCCCAGGGAACAAAGGACAGGACAAGAGGAAACAGCCTCAAGTTGTGCCAGGGGAGATTTGGATACTGGGGAAATTTCTTCATGGAATGGGTGGTGACAGCTGCCCAGGGCAGTCACCATCTCTGGAGAGGGATTTAGAAGCCTGTGGCTGTAACACTTGGGAACATGGGTTAGTGGTGGCCTTGGCAGCACCAGGGGACTTGATTATCTTAGAGGGCTTTTCCAGCCTAAAGGATTCCCTGATTCTCTCCTGCCTGAGAGCAGGACCACAAACGGGAAGGCAGAGAAGGGAGGACAGTCCTTGACAAATCATTTGCACCCTGGGAACACGCGACACAGGCCGAGATGTTGCCTATGTGGGTTTTTCTTGTCCCCCAGGAGCACGTGGCTGTCCCTGAGCTGTGGCCTGGCCCTGCTGCTGGTGCTCAGTGCCCTGGGGAACGTGGGGCTGGTGCTGAGGGCGCGGTCGGAGCGGCAGCACGGGGACTATCGGTACCACCCCCTGAGGGACATCAACGGGGAGGCCACACACACCCCCAGTGCTGCTGCCTGGGAGCCAGAGGACACTCGGGAGCCAGAGGACACTCAGGACTCACTTTAGAGTCCCGGATGGGAAGAGAGGAGGTGTTTCACTGTGCCCCCTGCACAGCCCCTCAGCACTGAGCGGGACAGAGTCACCGTGCCTGAGGTGACCCAGCCCAGGAACTGCCCTTGCTCAGCCACAGCTCCCTCTCCTCTGCTGCTCCAGCCCCAGCCCCCAGGGCTGCACCCCCAGTGGCCGTGATGGGATGCAGGGCACTGGGTAAGGGAATCCCACAGTGGCAGCAGGAAAGGAAAGCGGCTGGTTCCTTCCTAACCCTGAGGGACTTGGGTGAGCAGTGCCAGCCACAGGCACCTCAGGAAGGTCCCTGCCCACCGGGGCAGTGATGAGTGTTTTTAAGACTCAGCAAGGTAAACTGCCTCTAGCACAAAGCTGGGTTAAGGAAGCTGGTGCCTAAGGGTGTTAGAGTGTATGTCTGCCCTTCCCTGGTGAGCTCAGATTTTAATCAGAAAAGTGACAAAACATTTTAAAATGCTGAAGCAGGTGCAGCACCCAGTGAAACCAGAGCCCTCCTCCTGGCCCAGAGGCGTGTGATGGGCGCTGCATTTTGGGGAGGCTCTTGCAGCCTGGAAAAGCCTTGTCAGGTCACAAGTTCCATTGGTGCATCTCTTGTAGCCCCAGCAGCTGAGGGGCTCTGGGGGCTCAGGGACTGTCACCAGCCAGGGAAGGGGACAGACAGGGACAGCCTGGCAGGGCTGGCAGGACATGGCCTGGGCTGCCCTGCCCCAGCTGGACTCTCCTCAGAGGGACCACAACCAGCAAGTTCTTCAAGCCCTCCCAGATCCCAAACACCTCGTCTGGAAATCCAGAACCCCTCCTTGCACAATTAAACTGAAACAGTGTTAAGAGTTTGCTTCCACTGGGGGAAAGCCAGCCTTTAACGTGCCCCTTGGATGCTGCAGAGGGGTTAGAGCCTGTCTGAGCCCCAACACTCACAGTTTTATGCACTCACTCCCTTTTTACCTTTCCATGTAAAGGATGTGTAATTTCTGTGCCACTGTTGGCATCAGATCAGCCTGTAACCAGAAGACTCTATTTTTCTATGATTTACAGAAGATTATTTGAAATTGAATAAAGTCTATTAGTGCTACCTGCCTGAAACTCAGATTCCTGATGTCCAGCTGCAGAAGGATACGTGATCCTTTCCCAGTTAACCTCAGCCTCCCATTGGAACCCAGGGGCCTTTTATTTTAAATAACAGCCACACTGCAGGATGTGCTGTCCCAACCCACTCTGAGCTAGGAAACTAAACAGAAATGCTGGTTCTGCAGGGAAAAAGTGACCATTTTAGTTCAAGAGCATGAATAAGTGACCACAAGGCAGCCTTACCTCTGCTTCTGGGGGAAAGAGCAGCACCCAGGCTTAAATTTCCAGTTTTCCCTAATCTGAACAATTGCATCAAACAATTCCACGTGTTCTTAGAGATGCTGTTTTATTTCCAACATCCCCAAAGGTACAGCTCTACTGGGACCCACAGACAGTCACTGAAGTACATTTGTTGTCAGGGAACATGTTACAGGGCCCTGCAGTTTGCAGAGGGCTCTTAAAGGAGGTTTGGCTGAGAAAAATGAGGATTTCAGTAAATAAAGCCAAAGCCAGCTGCAAGGGAGAGAAAGTAAGTAAAATAATTAATGCCCATTTAACTTACACATGTCACTAAGAACTTGGAAGTGGGTGTTGGTGTCACTAAAAGCCTGTGCATGTGACACAATTCCAATTTTGCCTTCCAAGAGAGAAATAATCAGGTGTGAGGATCGTGACAACGGTGTTGGAGGAATATTAAAGCTGAATCCATGCAGGAATCTTTGAGAAGTGCTGTCAGTTAGGAGTCTAATAGCTGCTCCTTGCATTATTTGCTCACAGTATAAACATCTGGGATATGAAGCAGTGTGTGCCTTTTGAAAGGAGGGATTCCCTGCCTGGAGCACAGCTGGCCTGGCCCTCAGCACTTCCCACCCCAGCAGGGTGGACAGCTGGGCTCAGCACTTCCCACCGAGAATTCCAAGCTCAGGAAGTGGTGCAGATTTGGGACGAGCGGGATATGACTTTTTTCAAGCCAAACTGGGATTAGAAATTCTTATTCCAAGTTGGTTTTTCCCTATTCCTGAAAGGGAACTGGTTGGACGCGGCAGCAAACGCTCCCAGCGTCGCTCCGGGCTCCCTCACCTGGGCACAGCTGGGAATTCTCTTTCCGAAGTGCAGGGAGTGAGTCCAGGAGCTGAGGAACTACTGAGAGGAGCTCTGGTGCCTCCCTGCTGACGAGAGCCCTCGGTGCCGGGTCACAGCTCTCCCGTGCCCCGGGAAGCGCTGGAGCTGCGGCACCAGGGCTGGAGCCGCCCCTGGAGCCCCGGAGGCTCCTCTGCTGCAGCGGGAAAAAGCCCTTTTCACACCTGAGAGGCAGCGAAGGTTCAGGCAGAACGGCCCAGGACTGCAGTCCAGCCGTGCCCTGAACGATCCAACATCCATCCTCGTGCTCCATGTCTGCCTTCCCCAGTCGTGCTGGGACAGACACCAGGAAAAGGGGCAAACCTGGAGGAATCACTGAGAACAAAAGGTTTCATCTCTGGCCATATTTAACTGTAAACTATGGCCCAGCCCTCTGCAGCCCAGCACAGGAAACACGGCAACAGCTCTGAGGTAGGTGTTGTGTTTGCATATGGAATATCTGAAACAGGGAGGCCCCAGTTTACTGGGGGCTGTTTTTTAATTACCTGAACACGGCCTGAGCTCACTGGCTTTGCTGCTGGGGAGGGAGCAGGGAGGGCCTTGCTGCGTCTCCAGTCAGCACCCAAAACAGGCCATTTCCCCAGGTTTTGCCTTAGGAGAGGATCCAGAGGATCCAGAACTCCTCCCAGCCTCAACTCACAGGAAGCTGCTTGAAGAAAACTGTGATTTTCTAAAGCACACTGATGTCATTTGAGGGGAAAAGGGTGATGTAGAAGAATTCCATCTCTGGCATTGGGAGTTCACAAAGTCAGGTTTAAAAAGCACAGCACAGCACCAGCCACAACATCCAGGCTGTTGCTCCCTTTCTCCTGTTAACGTTCAGGAAAAATAGGGAAAAAATATTGGATTATTCAAATTGGTTTCAAAGTAAATGGGTAGGTGGGATAACCCAGGCAGCTTTGCCAAGGGAGAGGTCACAAGTTGCTTCCCAAACACACCTGTGCCGTGATCTCACGGGCAGAGAAGCAGCACTGACAAGGAATATGAAGAAAAACTAGGATTGGGATGTCCCTGGAGCCAGGAAGACTCCGTGGGACCAGCCCTTCAGGCCTCCCTGCCTCCTTTAGAGACCTGCCAGAGGTGCCAGGTTCCAGGTGCCTCACTGACAAGAGTTAAACACCCAAAACTTTTAGTGTGGGCACAAAACAGCACATCCCGCATTTCAAAATAAAATTTAAAAATATCCCAGTGCAAAGGAAGAGATTCTTAACCAGAGGAAACCACAGGAAGCAGGAACGTTGCCACCATGGGACGTGAGCAACCATGTAAAAAACTGAGCCCCAAGAAGGTGAAATCCTGAACCAGCACAGGGAGGATGGGCTGGGTTTGCTCCTGGGGCTTTGGGAGTTGGTTGAAACTCTATTTCTAGCATCAGAATGAATTATGGATAAAGGATTTTCCATGAGGGATACACACATGCACTTCTACTGTCGAAACTCCTGATTTTCCAGAGGAAAGGTGATACTTGTCCCACTCTCAGACTCCATTTATGCTGAAATGCTGGAGACAGAAGTTTCACTTGTGTGGGACAAATGCTAAAAGTCCATGGAACAACTGGGGAATCCTTGGAAATCAGAACTTCCCTGAGCCCTGCACGGTGGGAGAGTGATTCCCTTGGCTCCAATCTTTTAAAAAAAAAAATCACCAAACAACTCAGAAACAGATCAAGTTCTCATCTCCCATTGTTCGGAATATTTGGGCTCCGTTGGCAGCACCTGGTGCTTCCAACCCAGGAATTAAACCAGCAGGGTGGGAAGGAAGGACTGCCCGGATTCCATCAGTGTGAACAAGAACTTGGGGAGTTGCCTCTTCTCATCTTGTTGCCATGTGGACAAGAACAGGGATATCTTCACTCCCCAGCCCAACCACACGAACCACCAGTGGAGATGAGGGACAAACGTGGGATTTTTGGTGTGCAGGAAGACAGTGACAACTCCTGAACTCAATCCTGGCTTCTTAATCCCAAGAAACAGTCCAAAAAGCACTGGACTCTCCCTTTCCCTTGCAGGGAAGGTGACACAGCCCTTTCCCCAGTGCTCTGCACGGTGCAGCCCTTTTTGCAAGAACATCCAGTGATCACAAAGATTGGGATTTAAGTAGAAAGACTTCTTGGGATTGAAGACAACCAGTTATTTCTTTCTAAAATCAAAGTTCATCCCATTAAAAAAGGTGGCTGGATTTAATAAATAGTCATTTCTGACATTATAAATAAGTTAAAAATTAATTTAAAATAAGCTAGCATTGAATAAATAGGCTTCAGTAAGTGCTTACATACACACAGGCCTCTTTGAAAGGTTTCAAGTGAGCTCATGTTTTAAAGAAGCAAGTTCTGCAGGAACTGTAAGCAAGTTACTGCCAGAAAATCTTGTGCCTTCAGGAAATCAAATATTGCTTTGCTTAGCCCTTTAGAATTGGATTCAGTTCCCATCCACTCAGGGATGGGACAGACCTACTCATTATTGCTGTAAACCTGAGGAGAAAGAACAATAGTTTACCTTTAGGAAGATGCCACTTGCTGGAGGCAGATTCCCTGCCTGGACTTTCCAGAAAACTGTTTTGACTTTGTCTCAGCAGGGTTACAAAAATCCACCACATTTCCCAGTAACATCCTGCCAGACCAGGAGAGGTTTTTGGTTTGACCTGGAAGTGATTTCTGAACCCTCCTACCTGTACCAAGGTGTCCTTCCGAGGCCTGGCCCCTGGAATGCCCAACTCAAGTTCCGGTGGAGCCCTGTGGGCACCCAGGAAACTCCAGGAGTTTTGCTACCCAGGAATAACCAAAAGGTCCAACAAGTAAGGCAACATCAGCCTCCTCTGCCACACACGGGAAGGACCGATGGGAGAAGCCCTTTGGAGTGATCCCTGCCAACTGACATCCAGCCAAAATCCATCCAAGAGACCACTGAGGAGCAGCAGCTGCTCCAGAACTCCAAACCTGCCATTGGAATTCCAGGTCTTGTGGTTTAAGCAGCTCCCAGAGGCCTCTCTGTGTCCAAATGGCTGCGACACAACTGCCCCAAGGCTCAGCCCTGGAGCTCTTTGGTTTGGGGCTGGGAGCAGCTCCGGGGGCAGGAAGGCCCAGGAGGTCTTTCCCTGCAGCCTTGGCTCTGCTATCTGGAAAGGTGGGAGCTGCTCTGGGACTGGCTGGAAGATGTCGTGACTCCACTCAGCTGGGAAAAGCCGCTGTTGCAGGATTCCAGGCTCGACATGGATCCCCTGGGATGGGAGAAAGCAGATGGGCTGTTAGGAAGGCAACAATCAATGGAACTATTCCCCTGACAGATCAGCTTACCCTCTATAGTGCTTGCACAAGTGCTTTTTGTCCCATCATTTTCCACTTGCTCTCTAAGAATCTCCATGTCATCATGAAAAATTCATTAGAGATATTTTTTTCCCAGTTACAGATATTATTCCTTGTCCCTGGCTGATGTTCTGGGGAAGGGGACAGAGCTGGAGCCTCTGCAGGGCTGTTTTTGCTGCCCCTGAGCAGAAAGGAAAACTCCAGTGCATCCCAAATGCAGCAGCCACTGTGAGCCCAAGGACTGCAGGCTGCTGAACACCAGAGTCCCAACTCCAGAGTGCCCAGCCACTGTTTCCAGCTCCTGCCAAAAGCAGGCTGGGCTCAGTTAATGCAGGAAGAGCACCAAGGAACATGTTTGCATGACTGCAGGGAGGTGTTTGCTGCTGCTCTGACTCCACAGGATCTGGCCAGGTCACCACCTGCAAGTCTGTTCTGCCCAACACTTCCTCCAGCTCCAGGGAAAGGTCAAGGACTTGCAAAGAATTCAGATTAACAGGTGACTGGGAAGTGCTTTCAGCACTAGAGGAGGAGGCCAGGCACACTGTCCCAAGGCTGACTGTTCAGCTCAGAAGTG